TATAATGGCAAAGAACAGAGACACAATTAAATACTTTCTACATGGTTTTAATAAGAAAAAAAGAAAAAAAAATTAACCTACCATTCGCTATAAAATTTAAATTCAAAAACATTAGATCTCTCACGGCATTATCTTAAAAAATCCAGTTTTATCTCACGATACTGTATCACGAGATAAAATCAGAATGTCACTTACAAGTTACTATGACGGATATTTAATATACATATAAATATTATTCCATATTATATTTATAAAAAACTAAATCAACCAAGATACACCTACTAGCTATAAAGAAAATTGATAAATAAAATTTATACCAAAAGTAGATTTAAGGAATAGCATGGATTTCACTCACAATCTATAATATCACATAACAATAGCACAGTATTATTAATTGTGTACGCTTATATACCGTACATGTAGTTTACTTGAAAATAACGAAAAACCCTGGTCTAACTTACCATCTACAATGATAAAGAGAAATAAACAAATGAAATTCCATGCGATTTACTAACAAATGATAAAATTGATCCTGAATTCGATTTACCATCTACAATGACAATCATGTAATTAAATTTCACTCAATAATTTACAAACAAATAGAAGATATACGGTACTTACCAACTATAAAGTCATTTCAATGGTTAACACAATTAGACCTTATTTCATATATATTTAAAAATGGTAATTATTCTAACTTACAAACTACAATAATAGAGAAAATAAATATAAATCATTATTTACGAAATAGATAATGAATTTACTCCAATTGAACTTACTCTCTAAAAAAAAAGTTAATATAATCTCACAGAACGAGTGGTGAAAATATCTTGGATTTGGCTTACCTGCTATAAAGTCGTTGTTAAATAAATTAGATGATTTTGCAAAAAATAAAAATACTAAAGTATCATGATTTTGACTTACGATCTAAAATAAAGATGAACTTAAATTTCTTCATTCTATTAGAGAAATTACAAAAATATGCTGATACAACTTACCGTCTACGAGTAAATAACAAGAATTCAATAAATTTTTGTTCCTCAAACATATTACAAAAATATTTTAAATTTAACTTACAGTCTATAATAATAAAACAAGATAATATTAAATTTGTTTTATAAAACAAATAATGAGAACATCCGGACTGACTTTAACTTACCATCTTAATAATCAAAAACAAAATCTCTTTAAAATTTCATTGATATAATTATCAACAGAAAGCAAAAATTTATGATTCAACCCACCCCCTATAAAATCGATGATTAACATGTTTAGATTTTATAAAAGATAAAAAGAAATATATTATTGTTACATCCAACTTACAAACTACAATGAAAGAATAATGATGCAATTAGATCTCTTCATACTTTACTTTTACGAAACAAATAAAACCATCTTTAAATATAACTTACTTTCTACAGAATTAAAGTCGACGGTCCATACCATTCATTATTTTAATGATTATACGAAACAACAAATAATAAAAATATCCAGAATTAATTTACCATCTAAAGAGGCGGAAATACAATTAAATATCGTTGATAATTTGTAAAACAAATCACAATGACTATTCAGATTCAACATACCACCTATAATAGAAAAGATCAAATGAATGATATTTAAGATTTTACAAATTAACAATAAAAATATCCTGATTTAACTTACTATCTATAATAATAAACCAAGTACATTCAGACATCATTCATTATCTTTGAGTATCAAAAGATCTTCGATTTTTTAACTTACAATCTATAGCATCAAACATGAATACAATCAATCACATTTTGTATAATTTGCGAGTATATATCCGGAATTAAACTTACCCGCTGAAAGTCAAGAATCAATATAATTATATTTCATGTCATCATACGAAATAAGCAGCAAAATATTCTAATCTAACTTACTATCTATAATATAAGGTAATACAAGCGTAAGAAATTTCATCTGGTAAGAATTTCAAACGATACCCTGAATCAACTTACCATCTACCATAGTAAGTGCAAATGACTTTCATTTATTGGGTTGTGCGATATGCATCAAAAAATTAATGATTTGACTTACAAGCTAAGGGAGGCCGTAATTAATAAATATTTTGTTTTTATGAAACAAATGACAAAAATATCGTGTTACGACTTACAATCTATAATAATGATGAGTAAGAATATAATTTATATTAAACATATAATGAAAGTATCATAGATGTAACTTACCCACTAGAAGGTCAGAGATTAATGCTGTTAGATCTCAAATAAATAACGAAAATACGCTGTACTGGGTTTAACTTACACCCTAAATAAAAGTCAGTGATGAATATCCATTCATGTAATTTGTAAATATATATATATATATATCGAAAGTTTAATTTACCTCCTATAAAATTCGAATTATATCATTAATTCAATAACTTATAAAATGAAATGAAAAATAAAAAAAAGATCTCAAATTTAACTTACCAATAAAAATAAACATAGGTAAACAAATAAATAACGTTTCATAAAATTTAATTAAAAACAAAATCGAAAATATATTAACCCAACATACAAGCTATAAAGACCATCAATTAGTGAAATTAATTTTTCATATAATATATAAAATAAATAATAGAATCTCGGATTCAACTTACAACCTACAATCGAAAAACAATGACGGTACAATTTATGTAATTGCTGCGAAACAAATAACGAACTCAACTTACCAGCTATAAAGGTCGACGTTAAATAAATTACAATAAATCTTGTTCACGATAACAAATGTCCTGATTTCAACTTACCCACTGCAAAATACACGATTAATGCGATTAAATTTCATACGATCACACGAAACAAATAAAAAATATTCCGGATACTACTCACCATCTACTATATACGGTATATATATAGTAAATATCTTAATCACGAAAAAAATTGGCGAAGTATTCTAGATCCACTTACATTCTGCTATATTGAATAATGACGTGGGTTAGTTCGCATAATAAGCATTTCAAAAAAGAAAAATTAGGTATGAGTATTTTAGGTTCAACTTACTGACTGGAAAAATCGACGAATAGCACAACTAAATCCCATTGCACATAAATTAACGAAAATAAACAAAAATATTATCTATTCACTTACTCTCTAAAAGATATTGTTAATGTAATTAAATTTCGTTCTTTCATAATTTTACGAAAAAAAAAAAATAAAACAATGGGTCTCAACTTGCCATCTGTAGTAACTAAAAAAAAACAATGGTACGCGATTAAAAAATGATCCGCCTTCCATGTCTTCCATTTAATATCACAAATATTGCATTGATTATTCGTTTAAATTCAAAATACTTACCTATAGCGCTATCGATCAATTTTTTACAAATTCTGAATTCATATCAATGTCGAATGAAAATTTCTTTGATTATCGTACACGCACGTACTTATATGGTACAATATATGTAATATTGCGTCATCAGGTTTAATACAAGCCAGTTACTGTATACGGTTTTGAAAGTTATACTGTATACTGTACAGTAATAAGCAATTATTGTAATTTTGAAAGTATTTTTTAACAATTCTATTGGTAAATAGTTTAATACAATAGAAAAGTTAGTTGGTTTTATTTTTAAGAATCCAATTTGCAAGTCTTCTGATTAAAAAAAAAAAAAAACTTATACAGTAGTTTATTCGCGATTTTATATATTTCAATTTTAAAAAAATTTAAATGTCTATTCTTTCCGTTTTAAGAAAAAATAAAGACTTGTGAATTTTTTATTAAAAACATTAATTTAAATGCTTATTGAAAAATAGATACAGTATATAATATTGCAGTATGTAGGCGGTAATAAATTAGAAATCCAAGCGAATTCTAAAATTGTTATTTTCAATTAATTAATTAAAAAAGACGTAGTTTAATATGTTAAATATTCGATCATACAGCAGTCATTTTTACCAATATACTGTATGCTTTAATGACATTAAAAGAATTTGAATAATAATGATACCGTATACGTGTACGATTTTTAGCATTAAACGGTAGACCTTGATCGACACTCGTAATAAAGTTTGCATAGCAAAATCAAAATCTAAAAATTAATGCAAATCTTGGTCCGACGATCTTGGTTTTCATTATCCATAAAATTACGGTGCAAGTTAACTATTGAAAAACGGCGAGTTTGCCGCATGTCCACAGAATACATTGTCGTACGTCACGCGACAGCTAAGTAGGCCCGCATTGCATTATTTGCTGTATAAGGGTTAAACTGAATGTTTCTTGTCTCACTGACAAGCAATAGAAGCGTTTTTCGATTACGTGACTACAGCGTGGAACTAAATAGAATACAGAAACTTGCACACTTATGGGAGCATACTTGCTGACTTTATTATCGTGATAAACCAAGTATAGTACATTTATACATTTAGCGTATTCTAATTATCCTCTTATATCCCAATTACAATATCTCAACTATCTGTGACACTAGGTCTATTTTCTAAGTCGCCAAATAAAATAAAACAAAAACTTATTATGTTTAAAGTTATCAGCTGGGTCAAAATATTTTGCATGCTATGCAAATTTTTTTTATAAAACGTCAGCTACTATAACGAAAATATGAAAGTCAGTATGATAAATAAGATATTATAGCAATTCTAGTTTCTTGCATGATTCTCGTGATTTAATGATCAAACTTGAAGTTGCTTCTTTTTCGTGATTTTAACAAAAAACAACACTAGTAAACCAATAAGTTGTTCGATTTTTATAAAATGAGTTTTTCGTTTCTCTTGTTAATGTGGCTTACCCACGGCTTGCTTGCTGTCAGAAAACAACGATAAACAAAGACACCAAAAATTGCGCCGTCAAAAGGAATACAAATAGAAGATATTATGAGGTTATATTGGGCTTGGGGGAAACCACCCACAAAATACAACAATCATAGCCACGATAATTTTTGAAAACTTTCTTTTCTTTAAAAAAAAAGAGATAGACACCTTGTACAACTAGCTCATAGTCTTATTATTATTAGCAAAAAAAAAAAAAATGGACAAAATATTATTCAAATTCATAGCGTTGGTTTTCTTTATATCCCTAGTACACTCCGTGTCAATTTTAAGAAAACGAGAAGAATGCATCAAATGCGCTTCCTACGTTCCAGAGAACCCATTTGATCCATCCGAATCCACAACTCTTAAATCCTGTCTTAAATACGTCACCGGAAAAGTCTTATACCGTGACGATGATGAATATTATAATAACATAAAAGGTTGCAATTGTCGAACAATCTATTACCCTATAGCAATTGTTTATGCTGCCAATGTTGCAGATGTACAAGAATCAGTAAATTGTGGTAACCAGCTGGGAATTTCAGTAGTCGCAAGGTCAGGTGGACATTCATACGAGGATTATAGTTTAGGAGGAAGAAATGGAGTGCTAGTGGTGGATGTTGCAAACTTTGATCAAATTGTAGTTGACGAAGAATCACAGACTGCAGTGGTAGGTACGGGAAACAAAGTAGGGCCAATATATTATGGGTTAAGTCAGTACGGTTATTTGTTACCGACGGGGTCTTGTTCAAACGTTGGAATTGGTGGTCAGGCTACTGGTGGTGTAAGTATTACTGCTTGTATGTAAATTATCAGGTATAACGCCACCACTTACTTCTTATTCAATAGGGTTATGGATTTGTTGGTAGAAAATACGGAATGGCATCTGACAATATTGTCGCTGCAGAAGTAGTTTTGGCTAATGGAACATTCCTTTCCCCGGTGAATAGCTCTTCCCACTCGGATCTCTTTTTTGCCCTTCGCGGTGCTGGAAACGCAGGTTACGGTATAATCACATCTCTCACTATTCAGATCTATCCTGTCCCCGAAAAAATCGTCTATTTTCATTTGTCGTACGATGATGCCAATATTCAATCAGTATTTGATGCCTACAATCAAATCGGCCCATCACTAGACGAAAGTTTCTCTCTATATCTCACTCTATCTCCGAAAACAATCTGGGGAAACAACAGTTGTGCTTCAGCAGATAAAATCAACTTATTTAGTATGGGCACATATCTTGGTTCTCTCGACGAGGCAGTCGAAGGTTTATCAGATTATTTGAATGCATCTAGTCCGATAGAACCCGAGTTCACTGAAACTACATGGTATGAGGAACTACTAAGCTTTGTTGGTGGTGGTAATTTGGAGAGCTTAATTGATCCGGAATTTGATCCTGAGCCATTTAAAGTAAAATCTTTTTTCATCGATTCGCCTGGTCTCACAGAGGAAGCAGTGACAGTACTGCAAACTTTCATAAACACCGTGAAATGTCGAACATTAGCAATGTTTGAGTTAATCGGCGGCGGTGTTAACAACAACTTTTCACCAAATGAAACTGCATTCGTGCATCGGAATTCATTGTATCTATTACAATTCGAGATGAAGCTACGTGGAGTGGATGAAGAGGTGAGGAAGGAATGCTTGGACGACATTAGAGATTTTAGTGTAATGTTTCAGGAAAAATACACTTCTTATTACAGCTATCAGAATTATATTGATAGTGAATTGTTGGATTGGGAACATAGATATTACGGACAACATTTTGAACGCTTGGTGGAGATTAAGGCAAAGTACGATCCAAATAATTTATTTAATTGGAACCAGAGCATACCTATTAGCATTTGAACCATTTATCATTAACTTGTAAAAAATGATATTTGCATTAATCTGACTGTATTTTTCAAGCATTATATAGAAAATATTATTGTAGTTTTTTAGCGTCGATATACTGTATTATAGTATTTGGTAGAATAATTAAAAAAGTGTAAGGGAACGACAAATAAAATAATAAACATTGGTAAACATGAACATGTATGTGTAATAGACACGGTTAAGGAAGATTAAGGTTAAGATGAAAAGAAATATACCCAGAGTCATTCAATGGTTCTATGAGCAGTCCAAGGCAATAACATATACAAGCGTAGAACCGTCCAAGGCGAAAACACTCTTCAGAGTTAAAGCATTACTTTTAAGAAAAAACACACTGTACTGTCTGTCGTCATGTGACGAGCTAGTTGCCGATGACAATAATAAAATAGTTAATTGTAGAGTAAAATACCTAATGTAAGCAATATGTATAATAAATTTATAGAAACATATACTGTAATTAATAGAAATAATATAATATATACTTATTGATTCAATCAAAAATTCTATTTCTTAACAAAACAAACATTTCAAACAAATAAATAAAACTATTTGACTTACTGAATAATCTTTTCTCAATAAACAAAACCAACCTTTAAATCTGATTTATAGTTATTGTACTTTAACCTTTCTTAAAAACATAACAATTTCAATAATGCAATAGCAATTCAAAATCTATAACTTTTATCTCAAATCTTCTCTAATAAACTTTTAACAAAATCATATTTCACATTACTTTATTATAAATAATACTTGCTTATACTATAATTTACTTTCAAATATTATTTATTATTTTTGTCCTATAGAAAAAATATATTTAAATTCGACTTATAAAAAAATTTAAAAACAATAAAATTTTAATTTAAATCAAGTACAAAAACCAACATCTGCCTAATTAATTTTTAACAAGTATATTTTTATTTAAAAAACTTTTTTAATAATCCCAAATAAACTTAATAAAGTCTAAATTTTATAATTTAATTCCAAAATAAACATTCAAACTATATTATTTGCACATCTAAATTATAATAATAATATCCTTTGATATATTTTAAAATAACAAATAAAAAAAAAAAAACTTACAAAAATTTAAACAATATCAATAAATTATAAATAATAATTTAACAAATAACAAAAAAACAACAAGCTTATTAAAATTATACTTGAATATTTTTTAAAAAATTAATTTATATTTCTTTAAAATAAAATATATTATTATAAAAAGTATTGATTTTTCAAAATTAAAGTTTCGTTTTTTTTACTTATAATTTTTATTAAAAATATATACTATACAATCAAAAATATTATATATCTTCAATTTATTATTATACTAAAATGCATTGTTAAATTTAAAAGTTTAAATTTTTTGAAATAAAAAATTTTATATTAAATATAAATCAAATATATTAATTCTTAAATATTAAACTTATAATATTTTTATCTATTAAACAACTTTGCTTAAACTCAAAAAAGGTTTTTATTATCAATATCAAATGTATTTATTTATTTAATTAAATAAAATAATATTATATCATACAATTATATAATAATATTTAAGTTTTGAATATGAAAATTAAAAAAACATATTATAAATAACTAATTATATCTATTGTTGTAATTATTTGTTATATTATTAATTTTATATAAAGAATAAATTGTAGTTTGTATATAAGAGAAATATAAAAATATATAGTTAATTTGATAAAAAAATGTTATGAAATAACAAAGAAAAAAATTGGTTATATATTAATAAATAAGCTGATAACAAAAATAATATTTTATTTTTTTATGAATATTAATTAATTATAATTGTTTGCATATAATTATAATTGCATTATTTCTTTATTTTATAACTGCTATAAATCTTATATACTGTATATATTTTGTTATAAATAAAAAGTTATATTCTAATTAAAATTTTCTTTTGCTATTAATTTTTGTTTTGTATTGATTTTTTAATTTATGTTTTATAGATAAATATTATTTCTTTATTTAATTTCTATAATAATAGATATATATTGTGAAATAAACAATATCTTTTATGTGTACTAACTTGCCTACAGTAACTACTAGATTAATATTGAAAACAAATTTTAAAACAATATATCTTATCAAGAGGCTTTAAGCAGCTATAATTACATACTTAGCATTGGATAAAAGAAAGTTAAGATAATTTGTAATTAATTTAGAAATATATTTAGTAAAATTGAATCCACTTTAAATATGTGAATCAATGATTATAATAGTTGAGATTAATTTAAAGGAGTCTTTGAATGATTTGAGTTTAACTAAGTTTTTGATATTTTGTTTTATTATATTGCTATAAATATTATTGTTCTATTTAATATTGATAGAAAAATATATGTTTGCTATAGTACAATGGAATATCTAAACTGATTTGTATAGATAAATTAAGATCTTAATTAAAGCTTCGACCCAGTTGGAGAAATTGGTTATAGAGAAGATATTGTCAATAATGTTACAGTATATATTGGTTTTGTTAATTGCTAGGCATATAAAATTGGCTTGTTATTACTGTTATAGTGAAGAATACTATTAATATATTGATTTTTTAAAATTAAATTGATATATAATAATATATAAAAAATTTTATTTTTTTGTTTTTTAATAAAATTAAATATAAAATCCAGTCTATTAATATATACTGTATATATGGTATTATAATATAATAAAAAAATTATATAAATTAGTAACTATATTTTTTTATAGATCTTTTTAAATATAATATATTATTTTAATATTTAAAAATTTAATATAACCTGTAAATCTATAGCATAATAATTAATGCTCCAAAAATTAGATTATAAGATACTAATTCAACCTTAAGTAAAAATAATTAAATAAAACCTATATTACATATATCTGATACCATAATATGTTAAATGCTGCTTCTTATATAAAGCTATTTTATATACTATCCAATAGATATTGAAATTATAACTTTTTTAAAAAGTATTAAAATATAATAATTATTTGATAAATATTATAATAATCATCAAAAGATTATAAGGTATCCATTTTCAACTAATAGGTTTGGTAATTGTTTCTTAATATTTAATATCTTTATTATAGAACTTTACTCAAGTCTTATATCAATTCAATAATAAATTAATCTAGTAATATTTATTTTAAAAAAATATCTGATTGTAAAATCAGTTTAACGGCAGAAACACAAATTTGTCTAGGTAGTAAAAACTAGTTGTAAGTTTATTTTAAATATTCTTAAGTAATATTTAAACTAGTAAGAAATTTAATAATTAGTCTAGCTGCAAATAATAATAAAGAAAGACAATTTTCAATAAAGCAAGCAGAAATTCTTAAAAGCTTTATTTACTATAACAAAATATTATATTAGTATATTTCTTTATTTTTTCTTAACTCTTCCTTAATAAAATAAAAAAATAGGTAAAACATTAGTAATACAGCAACAAGCAAAGCTTTGATCCATTAGTTTTAATCTTTATTCAATAGAAAAAGTTGATAATAACAACTGAAATTTAAAGAAATTTCAATATAGTTTAGTATATATAAAAAATCAATTAATATTATAATATGGTTTATATACAGCAATATATACAAATATATATAAATATTAATTTTAATAAAAGTCTGCTAAGCAAGATACAGTTAGTATTTAAAATCTAAAATCAAACTAAAAATTTAATACTTATAATATTTTTTATCAAGATATAAAAGAACAAATTTATAGAAAATAAAAATTTTACTATTGGTTTTAAACTATCTAATTTATATATTGTCAGTTTTAAACTATTTAATTTATATATTAATTTGATTTAATAAAAGAAAAGTTTTAATTAAAAAAATTAAATAAATAATTTTATTTATTTTGTTTAATTATTATCAAAAAGTTATTGATTAAAATTAATTAAAATAAAATATAATTCAGTTTATATATTTAAATATAAAATTTTTTTACTTTAATAATTATTATATTTTTATATCTTTTAGAAATTATAATTTTTGTATTTATTAATAGGACTCTTCCCACTGATCTCTTGACCAACATTTCAAAACAGCATTTAGACTAAAACATGTCTTTGTTCTTAACAAAACCTATACACTTTCTTTAATACAACTTGACAGATCTTGGCAAGACACTTCCACACCCTCCACTGTTTTATTTATCTCTTTAACAAAGTATAAACAAGAAGGTTCCTTAGTTTTTACTTACCCAAACTCCGATGGCAAGAAAGAGTTCCCCAGGGAAGAAGACAGTTTATTTGGTTTCCCCCCTTCTTTTCACCGCCATGATATCAGTATCTCTATCAGGAAGGACAACCCCAAAAGCTGAAAGGTTGTTGGATATCTTGGTCTCCAGAAACCTCCACAACATGAATACAGCTACCTTCCTAGCGTGTTTTCAAAATTTTTTAGTTTTTCTGAAGAAATTTGTCTACTTCAATTTGATCCTGAATTTTTGGTTACACCAGATCTGCTGGGTTTCCATTGGCTAAAAATCTGGATTGGACAACAATAAACAAGTAATAGATAAATAAAACAAGAACATGTTCCTATTCATACTACACAACTCCGATGATGTCATCACTTCAGACAGGAAGAACAAGGCAACGAGGTATCCGTTTTGATATAGTTGGACTTGTATGCATACCCCTCTACCTCCCCCTTTTCTCTTTTCTTTCCTTTATTTTTTTCCTACATTTATAAATACAAACAAGGTGGACGGAATGTTTTTCCCCTATGGGGTTTTTTGGTTCTGATCTATGGTTTGTAGTATACATGTGGCATAAATTATTTTGTTGTTGACTCAATTCCCAAAATCTTCAAAAATAATTGCGTTATAACTCAATTATTTATATGTTTTAATAGTGACTCAATTAATTGTGTCAAATAATTGCATCAATTGCGTCAAGGATCTAATAATTTCAGTAACATGTATAGACTTTATTATCACAAAGGCAAAAAGTTTTTTGAGAATA